CCAAATAGCCAAGCCCTGCATGGCTGAATTGAGCCTGGGCCATACCCCCTCCCACCATGGGACCAGGTTGGGATTGGGCCACCCCTTCCCCCATGTAGTTGCATTGGGGCTGGGTTACTTCCTGCCTCCCTCCATGTGGCTGTCTCAGACCTCACCACTGCCCCATCTGCATCTGTCCCACCAACAGACCAAGCACTGTTGCTCATCTAGCTTGTAGGGCATAAAGGTTGAGCGCCATAAAGGTGTCACTTGCAAACTTTACCACTTAACTATTAACACTTCTTTCAGAATAATTTATGTATATGTTAAATAGCATGGGGTCCAACATAGACTCTTGTGGGCCCCACTGCTTACCTTCTTCTAATGTGAGGACTAGGCCACATACAAAAGTTGATGAGGCTGCATCAGTCTCAGGCTCAGGCAGCTGAAGCATGTGCGTTTAAATCGTGAGGTTTCAGATTCAATCCACACAGATAACAACTTGCACAGGGATGCAGGATTCTGTACACAGTATGTAGAAAGATGTATGTGGGTAACTAACTGTGTCTTGTGGGGCAGAAGCAGAAAACTAACAACCTTATTTTAAGAAGGAATTATGATCCCTGCCTGCAATCACTAGATGAAATCGTTGCTTGGAGGGTAATTTTTTATGCAGTGACTACCATTAGTGAACTCATAGTGAACTCATTCATAGTTGTTAGGGGCTGGAAGGGACCTTATAGATCATCAGGTTGAGCCCCCTGCACTTGGGCAGGCAAGACTGCTGGGATCAGATTACCGCAACAAGATGGGCATCAAGATGCTTTTTGAAGATTGCTCCGGGCGGGGAGGGGAGCCTGTTCCAAACTCTTGGTATTTGACTTGTAAAGAAGATTTCCTTATATCTAGCCTGAAGTGATCCTCAATCAGCTTGTGCCCATTATTTCTTGCCCTCCCCTGCAGGTCTTGGTGAAGAGATGCTCCCCCAGGCCCTGATGTACTTATAGGCTGCCACCAAGTCCCCTCTAAGTCTCGTCTTCTCCAGGCTGAACTGTCCCAAGTCTTTCAGCCTCTCCTCATATGACCTGGTCTCTAGGCTTCTAATCATGTATGTGGCCCTCCTTTTGTCTCTCTCGAGCTTCTCCTTATCCTTCCTGAAGTGCAGCACCCAGAACTGGACACAGCAGCTGCGGTCTCACCAAGGCCGAGTAGAGAGGGAGGTTGACATCCTTTGCCTTGCTCAAGATGCCTCAGTAGATGCGTGCCAGCGTTTGATTAGCTCCGACAGCTACAGCATTGCATTGGTGGCTCATGTTCATTTTGTTGTCTATCACGATACCCAGGTCTTGTTCAGATGTGGTGCTGGCAAGTGTAGCACTGCCGAGCCTGTAAGTGTGGTGCAGATTATTTCTCCCCAGATGGAGCACTTCACATTGCTCTGTATTAGATGACTTCAGGTGGAGGTCTGCCAACATGGCGAGCCTGTCTAGGTCGGCCTGTATTGCCAGTCTGTCTTCAAGCGTGACCACACTTTCCCATAGTTCGGTGTTGTCAGCGAACTTCGCTAGTTCACTTTTAATATCATCCCTCATAGCTACTGAGGAGTATCCTGGACATGCCTCTGAGGCTTCTGATCCTGGCCACACTTGGAAGCAGGATACTGGAGTTATTCTTGGTCTTATTTGATACATTTGGGGAGTGGATAATAAAAGGTTCTCTATAAACTATAAAGGGATCTTGGGAATATACTCAGATAGGGAATCCTACAGATGGGCATCCCTAATATAAACTAGATGCATCTACATGAAACATTTACTGTTGAGTTGACTAATTAGCCCCACAATAAAATGTCACCTTCTGTACATGCAGTGCTATTAGGATGGAGTAAACTAATTTACTCTGCCATAAGCTAGTACTACCAGACACCCAGTAAGGGTGGCCAAAATTTGGGATGGGCTTCGAAGGGAGATGGTGCTCTCCCCTACCTTGGGGGTCTTTAAGAGAAGGCTGGATAGGCATCTGCCTGGGGTCATCTGACCCCGGCACTCTTTCCTGCCTAGGCAGGGGGTCGGACTCAATGATCTGTTGAGGTCCCCTCCGACCCTAGCATCTATGAATCTATGACACAAGTACTATCCTATAGGAGAGTTATTTACTCCACTGCAATACATGTGTAGACACTGATGGGGCTAACTGGGGCATGAGGGTGCTTCAGTGCAGGGGCTGCCTGCCAGCTAGTCCCACACTGGAGCACCCTCATGCCCCAGTTAGCCCCTCCACTGCACATTGAGCTGGGTTGGAGCATCCCTGGGCTGGCAGGCTGACCCCCAGGATCCCCTATCAACTGGGGCTGCTCTGCCCTACAGTCCTGTACTGCAATCCAGGGTACATGTGTAAAGACTGTGCCTGGGGACAATAAACTCTGGTGCAAACTGCACCAGAGTTTATTCAGTTGCATTAATTTCACATGTAGATGAGTCGCAGAGTGGTGAAGAGCAAGAACGTAAATGAAACCAGCTGAAACCCAAAGGGTGCATCTACATGTCAACATATGGAAATGTTGCTATAGTGCCATGCTTTAGTACTTCCTTTTGAAAGTACTAAGCACAGCGTATGGCTAGTTTTCATCGCTATATTGCCATAGTGGGAGTGTGCCGGTATGCTATACTCGGGAGTGTGCTGTTATAGCAACATAGCTGGCAATCATGTGTAGACACATGTGATTGCTACATCACCATAGTGTGCTGTATGGTGATGTAATGCATTGCTATGTCACTGTAGGGTGATGTGTAGATATGCCCAAACTAACATACAGCATACAACTAGCATACAGCAAGAGAGACTGGACAAAACCCACTCAACTGGAGCCACAGCCACACTGAAAGTCATATAAGGAGGTGGGGGTGGATTTAATGGTGTTGCTGTCAATTTTGCACTCTTTTTGAATCAAAGAAATTCACTCAATGTCCCAGAAAACCATAATTGGGTTGCTATTCCTCCATTAGATCACATTGGCAAAGCTTTTCAGAGCATGGCAAATATAGCTACTGGCTTAACAATTCAGTGTAGTAATAAAACCTGCTTATCTAACATCCTGCTTATTACCATCTTTTTTCTTTAACAATCCAAGCATCCCTGTTCTCTGAAGGAAGAAAACAAAGTGTCCCATCTCCCTGAGAGGTTATTATGCTTTTTCATTATAGGATGTTATGTTATTATTATAACTGTCCACCCATTATTAGTGCCCACTTCCATTGGGATTGTGAAACTCTGGCAGAAACACTCATTGAAACTGAGAGACATGCCTTTGTCCTAATCATATGTTACAATCTAGTTTTGCATTACAAACTATGATTAATGCTGATAAACCTGCCTCCTTTCCATTTTCATGCAGCCTTTTAATTTCAGCCAACTTCCAAGTGGAAGATCACATTAGATATATAATGGGTAATATGGTGTACACATACTGGTGGGAAAAAGGAAAAACTGGCTTTAATTTAAGAGACCTAGGGAAGTCCTCCCAGATCCCTTTTGCAGGGACTGAAGGATGAAAGCTGGCTCCAATCCAGCAAAGTATTTCAGCACATTAAGCATCAGAGTGGACTTTCAGTGTTACTGCACATGGAAAGCAGGCAGGATGTCAGAGAGGAAAGACTCTTGTGAATCACGGGGACTGCGGCTGTGCAGGTGTTTGATGTGCATATGGGTATAATTATTCACTTCTTGGGTGAGGGTGAGCCAGGGTTAGTAGATCTGCCTAGTTACAGAAAATGCAGGAGGGACATCTGGAGAGTGGCTAACGTTACTATAGCAACAGTTGAGTAGCAACCATTTAAAGATCTATAGACAGCTAGAAAAAAAGATTTCTACTTCCTATGCAGACTTTCTTGTCATACAGCAAATGTCCTCTGGCTATATACTGGCTCCACAATTTGAATCTCTAGAGAGGAGTTTGTTCTCCTTATTTCCCTTAATGGTTCAATAAGATCTGCAAACAGCCTCTCTCCTGGGTGTGTTTAAAGCCCGTTGGAGAAAGAAAGCTAGCCAGCTGATGAGAAAGGGAAGTAAGGAACACCCTTTGGTGAAAGAATTCAACTCTTTGCAAGCCTGGCGTAAGGTTCAGAGAGATACTGGGAAGGCCAGCGGAGAGAGTTGTGTGCTAGTTTTGTATGCTACTTCATAATCTGCAAAATAATCATGGCTTGAGTAAGCTTGAATGTTTGCTGCAATGACACCATGAGCCAGATTCCCAATGCACTTGTTTAACTTCACTGACTTAAATGGAACCGCTCTTCATTTGCACTGGTATAAGTAGAAGGACATGCAGGCAGTGTGAAGCTGCTAGAAAGTCATATCACTTAGATTGGGGCGGGCAATTATTGTGGGCAGACTGCCACTTAACAACTTCTGGCAAGCTGTCAGGGGTTGCATAGGTAGCCCCGCCCCCTGACAGTTGCCCCACCCCCTGGTTACCACAGTGGGACCAGAAATCCTGCCCCCTAACCCCTGACCTTTGCCGCTGGAAGTCCCTCCCCTTGCTGCCCACCCCCCCAATACTCCTTTTGGGAGGAGGGTTGCCATCTTAAAACCAGAAAAAAGCTCAAATTATACACTAGAAGTCAAACACCGACTATAATATACTTTAATTTTATTACAAAAAATATTTGTCATTCCTTGTTATTGTGTACTGTATATAGAAGGGATTGCATAATAACTCAAAAGTAAAGTGTTACTCTTTTATATTGTGTGTGTGTGCATATGGTGGGGTATGGGGGGGTTGTGAGAGGGTGGAGGGGGGCATAGGGTATGTTGGGGTGCATGTACACGTTGATGAGGGTTGTGGGTGTGTGGGGTGTGAGGGATGGTGGGGGGATGTAGGGACCCCGCACACATTCCCCCTATGGCATGTATCCCCTGCTGCCTGGCAGAAGCAGCAAGCGGGGAGGTCAGGGCACTCATGCCTGGTGCAGGTGCAGCTGTGGCCAGCACTGCATGGGGGGAGAGAGCAGAGCCTGCCCTACCACTGGGGCTCTGTGCTGCTTGCCTGCAGCTCCAGCACTCACAGTGATGGGAAACCCCACACTGGAGCCTGCTGCCTCCCCTGCTCCCTGCTGTGCAAGTCCCCGCACTCCTCCAAGAGTGGAGGGGAGCCCTGCCTGCTGCTTCTCCGCGGAGTCCAGCGTGGGGATTCCCCACTGCGAGTACAGAGCTGTCGGCATGCAGCTTGCAGCCCCTGCGATAGAAGCAGCTGGGTAGGCTGCGGGAGGTTGCACTCCTTGGCCCCACTGCAGCACTGGCCATTTCTATCACAGAAACTCCATGCCACGCCATGCGCCTCCAGCTCCTGCATCCCCACAGGGGAAGCTAGACCCTGCGAGGAAGCAGGAGACAGGGCTCCCCTGACTGTCGGCAGAGTGTGGGGACCTGCGCAGCAGGGAGCGGTGGAGGCAACAGGCTCTAGTGTGTGGCTTTCCCCGCTGCAAGTGCCGGAGCTGCACGTGTGTGGTGTGGAGCCTGGGTGATAGGGCAGGCTGCAGTCCCTCCCCCAACACAGACCTGGCCAGAGCCATGCCTCACCAGACACCTGTTCTGGGCATGGGCACCCTGACCTCCCTGCCTGCTGCTGCTGCTGCTGGGGCTGCACACCATGTGGGGAGTGTGTGAGAGGTCCCCACACCCCCCCCCACCCAGCCCAGCTGAGCTTCACACTCCCACTACACTTCTTGGTGCAGGTGCCATGCTGTGCTCCTGCTTCTGCCCAGTTGCCACTCCACACCTCCACCCCCAGCTTCCCACCTGTTGCCCCGAATGAGCAGGTTCCGGCTGCAGCAGGAGCCCCTCCTGGAAGCTGTTGGTTGGGCACAGCTCTTCCATCCACAAGGGTGGATGCAAGGCCCAATAGGGTATGTTGGGGGGGGTGTACATGTGGGTGCCTCACTCCTACCCTCATGGGCGGAAGGGCTGGGCAGGGTGCAATATGTTGGGGGGCACTGAGGGCTGGATGAAAGTGTTTGGCAGGCCAGATCTGGCCTGTGGGCCATATTTTGCCTATCCCTGATTTAGACCCTTCTGCTGTTTCAAGTGCCAGTGCGAAAGTTTTGGGTGCAGGGCTACAAAGGCAGAAGACACAAAGCAGGAGAGAGTGAAAAGGAGTGGGTCCAAGGGTGATGGACTTCCCATACAGGCATTCCATGAACTTATGACACAAATGGTTCCTGAAAACCGCATCTCAAGTCAAAATGCTGTAACTTGGAACCAATTTTCTCATAAGAAACAATGTTATAAATCGGGGATTGGTTCCTGAACCAAGGCCCGATACCCTGTTTTCACCAAAAATACCCCAGAATTTTATAAATCAATCAATTAAAAATGAGTAACATAGATACATTAATGTATCTATATTGTAAATAGCAATCATTGATTTAGAAGGACTTCTTTGAGGTGACTTTGCTCATTTTTTTGAAAGGCTCTTGGCTGGACTTTTTGAAGGGTTCTTCACTGGAGTGTTCTTAGGAGTCTTGGCTGCAGGTTCTTCTGGAGTCTTGTCCGTTTTCTTAAAGAAAGCATTCAGGGAAGTTTGGACAGATGTTCTCCAGGGAGATGGGCAACGCAGCGAACTTGTTTGCTGGTGTGGCGTCGCATTGGATCAAATGTTGTAAAGTTGAAACTGATTTCATAAAGTTGAAACAGGGTGTCAATTTATAAATGTTGTAAGTGTGAAACATTGTAACTTGAATAGTTGTAAGTCGAGGACTGCCTGTATTTAGTTGCAGTGGATTGCATGTATGGTGCACATCTATGCAGTAAATTTTCTCCTCAATTGAAAAGTATGTTTGCTTTTGCAATTAGCATGAGTGTTGCCCCACCCCTGCTTTTGTCCATAAGGAACATCCAAGCCAGCAGATACTTTGCTGTTAGAGCACAGGCTAATCAAGTCCATGTGCTACTAGTCCTCCAACACTATCCCACAATTCCACCTGAGCTGCATCTTCTTGGCTGACTTCTTTCTGAACTCCTCACCAGGAGTCATCTGGCTCAGTCTGTTCCTACCTACTTATTCCATTTTTCTTCCATTTTTATGGCATTTGAACAGAAATGCAGTCTAACAAATCCTCCCCCAAGCATGCTGCCAGCTGGCCTGAAACTGATATCATCCTTCTGGTAAAGCTGTAGTAGGCTATACTTAAGACTCATAATTTGAGGAAATGTATCCATAATCACTAGGTCTGTTATAATAACTCTAAGAAGTTGGCAGTGGTGGGAAATAAACAGATGGGAATCTCAGTGGGAGAAGAAAAAGGAAATCTCTGAAGACCACGTGCATGAAGGCTGAGAACTGCTAATTCGTGCCCTTGGAGTGATCGTTTCAATTATATCTGCACTATTAATGATTTTTTTTGTTGCTCAGATTATCCCCCAGTTGAGAAATTAATTCAAAACCATTTATGACTTCCCAAACTCCAATGCATTATTACCCTTTTAAATTATTGTTAACTGCCATCTTGTGTTGCTCTCGCATCGGGCTTATCAGCAAACAGTGTCATCAAGCATCTGACAAGACCTCTTACATACACACCATGATCCAGAGGATTGATGGTTGCCCACTCACTGCCATCTTATGTATTATAAATTATTTATGTAATAATCCCATAAATCAGTACATTTTATTGTAGTTCAGAAAACTTACAATCACTACAAATAAAATTATAGAAGAGGGTCTTCATGGTAGGACTTAAATTTGGGAAAAATCTAACCAACTTCTACAATTGTGTGTTATTGTAAAGAAAGTAAAGAAAGAAATTCTACTTGTCCTGCTGTGCCCATTTTTTTTCTTTAGCCATCAATTAACCATCCAGCAGACTGACCTATATCAATTACTGCCCCTGCTGGTTAAAATGCTTTTTTGAAAGAACACAGATTGACATGAGATATTAGAAACCATAAACTATTAAAGCATTTAAACCACTAACTTCTCGTATGATTCCTTTTTTTTTTTTTTTTTTT